CCCCCGGGATTGAACTTGGGTCCTTGCGCTTGCACAGCAGGCAGTGAAACCACTGAGCTAAATCCCCGGCCCTCATAATACTTTTAATGACAGTTGTTACAAAATAAAACAGATTTGTGAATATTTGCAGTTAAAACTTTCAAAATTATAATGTTTGCTTTACTGTAGCTGAAGAGGAAGAGGAAACATTTCCTTCATATCATTCATATATGTATGTATGTGTATGTATATATACATTATATTTAGCTGTCAGGAGTCTGCAGTTTCATTGCTAAATACCAAAACTCCACTGAATACCACTGGAATTAAAAGGAAGGCCTGAAAAAACCAAACCTTTAATTCCTTTTTTTTTTTTTTACCTTCTGGGCTTTCCCACATTGTTGATTGTTTTGTTTCATTGTTTAATACCAAAACTCGAATTAAAAGGAAGGCCTGAAAAAACCAAACCTTTAATTCCTTTTTTTTTTTTTTAACTTCTGGGCTTTCCCACATTGTTGATTGTTTTGTTTGTTTGTTTGTTTGTTTTTGGTACTTGTAAGGCAGGCACCAGAACCACTGAGCTAAATCTCCGGCCCCCCACATTTTAATATAGTATGGTATGAGGGAATAACTTTCAGCATCTACAAAGGTGGCATTTCCTAGTATCACAGATGTCCAGGGCTGCAGAAGGCGGACCCATTTCCTTTGGTGAGCGGCAGCCCTGGGGCTGTTCAGCCCAGCTCCGCCCAGCTCCACCTTCCCTTCCAAGTCAGCCAGGACCTGCTCCATGCAGGCTAGCTCCGGGTGTCTCTGAAACCCCCTCAGCCCTGACAGGTGCAGGGTGGGAATGGGCATCTGGTTGCTCTGGGCTCAGTAGTAAAACTGCCTCTCTCGGGGCTTCAGGTTGGGTGAGGGGATAGTTCTTTAAGGAAAATTCAACTCTGTTGCCAAAAGGAAGGTAACACTGGGGAATAGTGTTGAGTAACTGATAGATTTTCTTATATGCGTTTATCTTATCCAAGGAGAAAACTATTCAGTGCAATGTATTGTGGTCGCTTTGTAAACTGCATTTTAAACATGAATTCTAACAAATAAACCAGTATGTTAATACTTTCTAAATATCCAATTTTACATTTGTACCAATTGTCGAATCTGTTATTAAAAGTGGATTTAGTGTGGCCCGTATTTCAAATTGGCCATATGAAATAAGACTGTAGTCCTGAGAGCTATTTCTGTTTCAATTTCTGCATCCTTGTTGCTCATTTACATGTATGCATAATGCCTACAGTTTTAAGTTTTTTGTATGTTGTGAAGCTAAAGCAGCATAGGGGAACCTCTCCATATTAGTTCCAGTCTTAGATCTGCCTGTTACAGTTATCCCTCGATAGCTGACAGGAACGGGTTCCGAGACCCCCAGGGGTACCAGAGTCCACAGATGCTCCATACATAACATGGTGATTTTGCTTATAACCCATGCATGTCCTCTCTTAAACTTGGAACCATCTCTATATTGCTTGTAATGTCTAAAACAATGTAGCTATTATCTAAATCATTATTCTGTGTATTTTAGGGGATGTGACAAGTAAAACAGTGTACATGTTCAACATAGATGTATTTTTTTTCTGAATAATATTTATCAGCAGCTTGCTGAATCCACAGACCTAGAATCCACAAATACGGAGAGATGACTGCCTAGTTTAATGAGTTGTGCTTCGTTTTCCCCAGGTCTGATGGTGATAATCTCACGGGTTGCATGTAGGGATGGAATAAGTTGATCCACAGTCACGTGCTGATGAACTAGTCACTGGCATGTAGAGCTCGTGTTTGCCATTAGTTACACCACACCTTGGTGCTTCTTTTTTTTTTTTTTTTTTTTGGTACTGGGGATCGAACTCGGGTCCTTGCGCTTGTGCAGCAGGCAGCGAAACCACTGAGCTAAATCCTCGGCCCCCCTTGGTGCTTCTTATTGATTTGAATTCTTTTCTTTGTTTTTTTGAGTCAGGGTCTCGCTCTAATTCAGGCTGGCCTTGAACTCACTATGTAGTACAGGCTGGCCTGGAACTCTGGGTGATCCTCCAGCCTCAGCCTCCTGAGTGCTAGGATTACAGGCCTGTGCCACCACACCCAGCATGATTTGAATGTTTTTATTAGAAATTATTTTTAAAGTTCTTCTCCTAGATTTTAATTTAATTTTCTTTTTGAAATAGGGTCTCATTGTGTAGTTCAGGCTGGCCTTGAACTGTGTAGCGCAGGCTGACCTCGAACTCCCAGAGATCCTCCTGCCTCAGCTTCCCATGCTAGCTTTTAATTTTAAAAGTTGTTTTAACTGTTTTAAAAATTTTGATATTTGTGCTGAGCCTCTAATATCAGAAGAATGCAGTGACAACTTGGGGGCCCAGCCTAAGGAACGCATGCAATAGGTGCTGGGTGGGGAAGTGAAGACAGACACATTAAACACCCGGGAATACAAAGGGTAGGGAGGTGTGGGAAAGGCCAACTCACCTGTAGCTGTCCTTTGCCAGTGCTCTCCTCCTCAGGCATTTGCCATGTAAATATCAGCTATGTCTGGGTGAAATAAAAATGTATACTTTCTTATGTCTTAGTCCTTGGGGAATTTGAAATCAGTTTTGTGGCTGCTAAAAATTAAATGTAACATCTGTAACATTCTTTATTCATTTTTTTCCCCAGTGTTTGAAAGATGTATGGTGATCCTGAAACCATCAGACAAGAAAACTAGCAACTTCAGGGGAAGTTTGTCTATACTCAGGCTGCAGTATTTTAAGCAAACATGATTGGACAGTGGACCTGTGCCTTATGTTTCGGTGGAGTGAAAAATTTGAGCCAGTGAAGCCAAATCCTTGCAGCAAGCAGCACACAGCATACTTGGCTCCTTGCTGATTGTGAACAGGCATTTAAAATGTGAATTTGAAATCAGATGTCTCTATTACTTCCAGCTAAAGTGACATCATAGGTGTTTCCTAAGTTTAAAAAGTCTTGGATTAAAAAATTCTCCACTAGTGTCTACCATCTCCACCATGAAGTCTATTGAGGAAGCTCCATTTTGTATACTTCTATTCCTTTGCCTCCGTCTCCCCACCTTCTGCATGGTCATGTCCTCTTGCTAAACAATTCAAGCATAAGGCCTTGGACTACTTAAATCACAATTTAAGAAGAGAAAGAAAACAGCTGGGCATGGTGGCACACGCGTGTAATCCCAGCACTCAGGGAGGCTAAGGCAGGAGGATCCCCATTAGTTTGAGGTGAGCCTGGCCTACATAGTGAGACCCCTGTCTCAAACAACTTAATAAAAAAGGAAAAAGAAAACCAATATTTTCCCAATCTCTTGGCCATCATGATGTCTTAGATGGTTTTAGAAACATCTAAGAGAGGCTGAAAGTGTAGCTCAGTGGTAGAGTGCTCACCTATCATGCACAAAGCCCTGGGTTCCATCCCCAGCACCGCAAAAACTTAACAGCTGAGGATAATCTGGAAGAAATGGGACACCCTCCACAACACATATGTAGTTAAGTTTTGGATCTTTTCTCAGCAGGTACCAGTTGTAAATAAGAATGAAGTAGGGGCCAAAAATGCAAAACCAAAAATGAAGCAGCTACATGTAGTTAGTAATTTTAGTTTGAAGTGTAACTGAATATTGTGGCTTCATATGTATTATTTTATATTGTACTTTTTTCTTTGTTGATGGCTTAGACTTTCATAAAAATCCACTAGTTTTTAATATGACAGAAATAAGACTTTGGACAGTGTATTCTGGAAAGCAACATACTGTACTGAAGTAAATGCTTGTATATATTAAAATAGCCTTAAACCTTTCTAATGTCTTCACTGTCAAATAATTAAAACTTTCCAAAGCATAGGACTGTAGTCAGCATGCTAGACTGAGGGTTAAACACTGATGCAGTAAACAGATACTGATGCTGTGAGTGTTTAGCACTGTGTTTAGCTATGTTTGTGCTACAAAAGTGCAATATTAGACACTAGCTAGCTAGTACTGCTGCCTCATGTAACTCCAAAACGGAAGACAGGATTTGATTCAATGCACATACTTCTTTGTTACTCATATTGTCCTTTGCTTGGATCCAACGCCATGCAGATTTTTGTGGCTGCTCTTTTTACTTTGCATTACTTTGATTAACACCTTGAATGAAGAGCCAAACATAACCCTCTTCTGACCAGCAGTGACCCTGTAACTGCCATAGGGAAAAAAGTCTGTGTGTGAAAATTGGTGAGAACTGGCACTTAAGATCACAAAGAAAATTCTTGGTACTTTTTGCTTTAAGATGCTCTCTGCCCAAAGCTCTGAAAGACTGATAGGCAGTAATACTGCAATACTACTGAGTTTTGTAGAATTGTTACATTTGATAATAAAAATTGCCTGCTTAATCTCAATGCTTGTATTCTTTTGTTTTTAGAAGAATTATAATGGTGGAAGTGTGTGAGTAAGCTGTCCTTTTATTTGTTAGGGTTTTTTTTTCCGTAAATTCTCCATAAATACAGTAATAATGAAGCTATCCATGTTTTGTGTAATCCCTGCTATTAAAGAAGCTGAAGGAGGAGGGCTGGGGATTTAGCTCAGTGGTTCAGGCGCCTGCCTCAAAAGTGCAAAGTCTTGAGTTCAATCCCTGGTACTGTAAAAAAATAAATCCTTGGGGATGGGTGATGCAGCTTACCACTCCATTTTCAACATCCAGTACCAAGAAAAAAAGAAAAAAAACTATTCTTGGTGAATACACTCAATATACTGGCCAAATAACCATCCTTAGAGTATAAGTCATTGAAACTTTGATTCTCGTGTGCCGTACTGGGATTGAACCTAGGGCCTCATGTATGCTAGGCAAGCACTCTACCACTGAGCTACATTCCTGGCCATGATTTTGAAATTCTTCACAGCTGTGATAGATACCCTGCAGTCTTACTGATGAATCTCAGTCTGCTTAACAATTTGGCTTATCATTGTTCTGTGTTGTTGAACCCGCATGGCAGACAAGCATCCACTACTGAGCTACATCCTAGTGTACTCAACAACTTGCAAACCTATTTAAGCCACTAAAAACTAGTAAGATCTAGAACTTTAATACTTCTGAATCCCACATCTTTTTTCTCTGCTGATGCTGAGTCCTCAGGTATTCTCTAATTCAAATTCTATCCTTGTTTTAGGGCTCAGGTTGAGTATTGCCAACTCTTAACATTTCACTTCACTATGAATTATTTGACATCCATAGTCTTGTTACAGAGCTCAAATGTACTGGCAGTTTTAAAATTAAGAGTATAAGCTCGAGGACATAAAGTGTACTTGTATTTCCCTTGATGTCTAGCACATTCCCATTTCCTGTTTACTTGATGTGTTTTTGTTAACCATTCATAGATGAAGTGTAGTTCACTCGGGAATGTTTTTCAGTCCTAGTCTTTAATGACATCATGTATAAAAGTGGAGAAATCCAGTTTAGTTTTGTCCCTCAGCTTCGAGTCTTTTGACATTCCATGTGGCGAGGAGGCAGCAGAGTTCTGGGCAAGTTCCTCCTCTCAGTGATAACCTCTGACAGGCATTCCAGGTTGCTCCTGCTATTTCCTGCCTACTGCAGAAAATAGGACTGAGCGAGGCTGGTGTTCTGTCCACCATCTCTGGAATAGTTCCTGGTGCAGCTGCTCTCTTCATGCAGGAGAGAAAGGGAGGAGGGTGTGGGATTGAGTAAGGGTAATGGGGAAGGAAGGAAGAATGAGAATAAAGAGGACCAGAATGTGTAAGAGACCCTAGGATTCCATCCTCAGCCCAGTTCTTTGTGACTTCATATTGCTTGAGACTTACACAGTAAATGTGTTGAATAAATATACAGGTATGTTCATTCATGCAGTGGAAATTTTTGGGGGAGGGGGATCGGGGATCAAACTCGGGACCTTGTGCTTTTGAGGTAGGTGGCAGAACCACTGAGTTAAATTCCCAGCCCCATGCAGTGGAAATTAATGTGACTGTTTCTTCTGGGAATTCTCTGAGGATGTAGCTCAGGGGAACAGCACTTGCCTAGCACACACAATGCCCCACGTTTGATCTGTAGCAACAAAAATAAAGAATTTTGTGCTTGCTTCAGCAGCATATATACTAAAAATAGAAATAAAGAATTTTTATAAACTCTGTGTTGCTAACAACATTTTTCTTTAGTGCTATTTCTATCTATTTTATTTTATTGGTGCTGGGGATTGAACCCAGGGCCTCAAGCATGGCAAGCACATCTCTGCCACCAAATTTCTCCAGGCCCTACAAAGTGAATGTTGCTAAGATCAAAACAATGTTTTCTTTAGTACCATTTTGTCAATTTTAAATATCTTAATCCATTATTAATGGGTGTTTTTACATTGAAGTATAAATTCAAAGAATCACTTTTTTCATTGAATTATACCTCCAAAGAGCCAATTTGGTCTGGAATTTACCTACTCATAATTTTGGCAGCTTATGCCACCTACTGGACACACTGTGCTACTAGCTTTAAGGGTCCTATTCTCAACCAAGAGTATCCATCCATTCAGGATTCTAACAGGACTTAAAATTATTTTTAAATTTTGTTTATTTATTTGGTTGGTTGGTTGGTTGGTTGGTTTGGTTAGTTTTTTGAAACAGGGTCTTGCTATGTAGTTCAGGCAGCTCTGGCAGGGCTTGAATTCATTATGCAGCTCAGGCTGGCCTTGAACTCGTGGCAATCCTCTTGCCTCAGCCTCCTGAGTGCTGGGATCACAGGGATGCACTACTACACTCAGCTTGCTTACCTGTTTATTTATTTGCAGTACTGGAAATTGAACCCAGGGCCTTGCAAATTCTAAAAAAGTGCTCTATACTACTAAACTGTATCTCCAGCCCCTTTCTATTTTTATTTTTAAATTTTGAGATGGGATCTCTAAGTTGCCCAGGTGGGCCTTGAACTCCTGCCTCAACCTCCTCATGGCTGGAGTTACAGTCCTGTGCTACTGTGCCTCATATTTTTAAATTTTAAGACCAGAACTGATGAAAAATGATCAGTCTTTTTAAAAAAAAAACTATTACAAAATATTGAGAAAGGAGCCACGCATAGTAGTGCACGCCTTAATCGCAGGACTCAGGAAGCTGAGGCAGGAGGATTGCTAGGAGTTCAAGGCCAGCCTGAGCTACATAGTGAACTTAAGACCAGCCTGAACTACGTAGTGAACATAGTGAGACCCTGTCTCCTAAAAAAAAAAGTTTAGAAAGGGGAGGGCAGGAGGGTAGAAGAGAAAGCGGGTGTGATCAAATCCCAATATTCACATATATGAAAATTTATGCATTAATAATTATAATTTAAAATGTCAGCTGAGTGTGGTGGTGCACGCCTGTAATCCCAGCTACTTAGGGAAAACAGGAGGATCTGAAGCTTAAAGCCAGCCCAGGCAAAATAGCAAGACTTATTTTATTTTATTTGTTTGTTTGTTTTTTGGTACCGAGATCGAACTCAGGACCTTTTGCTTGCAAGGCAGGCGTGGTTCCACTGAGCTAAATCCCCAGCCCAAGACTTATTTTAAAAAGAAAAGAAAAGAAAAAAAGTCATGGCAGTTTTGCTGCGACACATACATTGTTATGATGATAAATGAAAATTTTGGTGAAAAATGCTTTCTGTGGATGTCAGCACCCCAGTGTGGAGTTCAAGGGCCCTGGCACTGGGGAGCAGCCTGCACTGGCTGAGAAGGGCTTTGGGAGCAGCTTCAGGACTGCACCAGGCCCCCAAATCTGACCTGGGGCTTTGGTAAGGTGGGAAACCAACAGAAGCAACTCTGTCTGTCAGGGGTTTCAGAATGTCAATTGTTTCTCATGAGTAATTGATTCCAGATACTCATAATCCACTTGCTATCCAACTGCCTTCTTTGAAAATAGAGATCTTTTTTTTCTTTGCAGTACTGGGGATCAAACTCAGGACCTTGTGCTTGCAAGGCAGGCACGGTGCCACTGAGCTAAATCCCCGCCCTTTTTTTTTTTTTTAGACAAGAACTTGCTTTGTATTCCAAGCTGGCCTTCAACTCACTGTGTAGCCCAGAATGGCCACTAACTCGTGGTGATCCTCCTGCCTCAGCCTCCAGAGTGCTGGCATTACAGGCTTGCAACACCATGCCTGCCTGAAATAGAGAATTTAATCTGTCCTTCACATGTGCCAAGCAGGCCTGAGAGCAATCCGTGCTAGATGTCCTCCAGGGGCTCAGTCTCATTCCCTGTAAATAGGGTTCGTCAGATTAGCAAAACAAACAGAAACCAAAAAACAGGACATTCAATTAAAGGGGAGTTTCATGGGAGCTACACAGGCAGCCCGACAGCAGGACAGCTGGACAGCCGCACGCGCAAGTGAGGCGGATCGCAGCCATGTTCCTGGTTAACTCGTTCTTGAAGGGCGGCGGCGGAGGAGGCGGCGGCGGGGGCCTGGGTGGGGGACTGGGGGACGTCATCAGAGGCTTCCTTGGCGGGGGCGGCGGAGGAGGTGGTGGTGGCGGCGGTGGCCCAGCCATGCGCATCCTGGGCGGAGTCATTAGCGCCAGTCAGCGAGGCAGCTGCGCATACAACCCAGACCCCCGCCCCGTGAGAACCCATTACTCCAACTTTGAGGCCAACGCGAGTGAGGAGGTCTGGCAGTTCTGGCGACTCTTTACCCAGCTGGCTGGAGATGACATGGAGGTCAGTGCCACAGAACTCATGAACATTCTCAGCAAAGTTGTGACCCGATACCCTGATCTAAAAACTGATGGTTTGGGCCTGGACACATGTCGAAGCATGGTGGCTGTGAGGGATAGCGACACCACAGGCAAGCTGGGCTTTGAGGAGTTCAAGTACTTGTGGAACAATATCAAAAAGTGGCAGGGCATATACAAACGGTTTGACATTGACGGATCTGGCGAGGGAGGGAACGTGGACTTCGACAACTTCATCAGCTGCTTGGTCAGGCTGGATGCCATGTTCCGTGCCTTCAGATCTCTTGATAAAGATGGCACAGGACAAATCCAGGAGAACATCCAAGAGTGGCTGCAGCTGACTATGTATTCCTGAGCGGGACTCCGACCTGCCGCCTTGCTGTAGGAGCCAACATGGACCCATCCTCCCAGGGCCCATGTGTCTGCAGTCACATCTGCATAGGTCCTATTCCCACAGCCCTTTTTTTCCCCAGCCCTTGGCACCCAGCTTCTCAGTCAGCAGCCGGCTCCCCACATGCCCCAACATGCCATGCCCTGAGTTACCCTGGCTCTCTGACATCCTCATATGCTCTGCCCAAGGGTCACCACACCCATCTCACACCCTCTCCTTTACCTTTCTCTGTACCTGTACCAAGCCCAATACTCGTGTTGCTTCCGTGCCCCAAGGGCCATCTCAGTTCTGGAGGATCACTCAAGTCCCTGGCATACTCATTCACAGTTACCACCCAGGCAGCCAAATAAACTCCAGTCATTAGGCCCACAAAAAATAAATAAATAAATAAATAAAAAATAAAGGGGAGTTTCAGATAAATAACAATTTTTACTATAAGCATGTCCCCAAAATTGCATGGGACACGTTTATACTACTATGTCCTGAATTTTACCTGGCAATGCTAATATAATTTAATTTAATTTCATAAATATTTAGAGGGCTCAGTATTTGGAAAAAGAGAAGCAGAGTCTTGTACAAAAAAAAGAAAAAGAATCTTGGTACAAATTTTGAAACCTGGTGGGGCACGGTGGCACATACTTGTAATCCCAGCACTCAGGAAGCTGAGGCAGGAGGATTTCTGTGAGTCTGAGGCCAGCCTGGGCTATATAGTGGGACCCTGTCTCAAAAAACCAAAAACAAATAAGAGCAGAAAGTACAGTGGACCCTTGACTTACAAACTCGCTTGGTTCCTGACAGCTGGTTTTAACTCAATGGTTCTAAGTCAATACAGCTGAGATCTGGATGTTTACCTGAGTACACGCTATAGATAACAAGAGGCAAGTGAATCTTCCACTAACCTAATTAACCCAAGTTGTTCATGTGTCAGGCCAGTCATAACTTGAGGGTCCACTGTACACTACTATAATTCATCTTTATTTTTGGGGGGCGTTTTTTGGTACCGGGGATCGAACTCAGGTCCTTGCACTTGCGAGGCAGGCGGCAGAACCACTGAGCTAAAGCCTCCACTATAACTCATCTTTATGATCTGCTGTCTTATCCAGTGAAAACCAATGGAGTCAAACTGGGGACCACATAATCCTTCCAAGTGGGATACACTTTTTTTAAAAAAGTATTCTATTTAAATAGTTTAGAACTGGGCCAGGGATTTAGCTCAGCGGTGCCACTGCCTGCCTCAAAAGCACAAGGTCCCAAGTTCAATCCCTGGTACCGAAAACTAAATAAATAGTTTAGAACTGGATATATAAGAAATCTTGATATAATTTTTTTTTTTGCAAGACTCACTACCTCAGTGTCATTCAGCTTCACCCGCACCTCTGTGCAGAGGAAGCTGACAGATCAGGGAAACGTTGTGGAGTTGGCCCCAGAGGAAAAGGATTTCTTGAAGACCATGGAAGGAAGGGAGCTGCAGAGTGTGAAGCCCCCAGAAGCAGCCCTGAGCCCACACCCCTGGGCCATTCACAGAAGCCTTGGCAGATGGAGTGCTGTTCCAGGCTGTGAAGGAGCTCCATGAGGAATCCAAGATGTCTCTAGAGGGGAGAGACAATGTGGGTGTTGACCTCATGCCTGCTATCCCTATGATACAGAAAAGGTGCACCCCCAGTGAACACCGGTCTGAGACAGTGCCAGAGGTTGATTATGAAGCAGTCCCTGTGGAGGCCTATGGGCTGGCCATGTTTCGGGGCATGGGCTGGAAACCTGGTGAGGGTATCAGCCACAGTTTCAATCAAGTGGTGAAACCCTGTGTAAGCTCACCTAGGCCCAAGGGGTTAGGGCTGGGTGCCAACCTGACAGAGGCTCAGGCTTTGGCCTCCCGTGGCTGCTACCGCCCAGTAAAGCCAGATGGGGAGCAAGAGAAGGATAAAGGAGACGAAACTCAAGGTGTGGTCTCTGGAAGTGCTGTGGTGGTCCTTTCGGGCCCTCACCAACACCTCTTGGGGAAGGTGGAAGGCTTTGATCATGACAATGTGAGGGCCAGGTTTCAGTCTAGCAGTGGGCCGGTGCATGGTGACTGTTAGCATCTACTGCTTGTGATCTGTATCCCAGGAGGAGTTTGACAAGAATTCCTTGCGCCAGGTGAGCAGAACTTGCTCCGGGCAACACAATGGAACAGTCTTGTCACGGAAGGCCCTCCAGAGTGAAGACCTGCATGGACATAGGGAGGACTCAGAAAGGAAGCCAAAACATCCGCTAGACAGGATGGGCCTGCCGCCAAGAGAGACGAAGCAGCCAGCAGGAGTCAGCACTGGCTACACCGGGACCTGCGCATGCGCTTCATGGACAAGCAGCACAAGGGTGGCCAGTATTACAATACCAAGATGACAACTGAAGATGTCCTGAGCCCAGATACATGTATGTGCAGGACAGACGAAGGCCGAGTCCTGGAAGGCGTGACCGAAGACATGCTGGAGACCCTCGTTCCCAAGGTCGAGGGTGATAGGGTGATGGTGGTGCTGGGGCCACAGGCTGGAAAGGTGGGACGTCTGCTGGGCAGGGACAGAGCTCGGGGCCGGGCTGTGGTGCAACTGCGGAGAGAGAGTCATTTGGTGGAGCTTCACTACAATGGAGTGTGCCAGTACAGGGGCCCCAGGGACTCAGATGAAGACCGACTGTGGGGGCACTCCCATCCTGCAGGCTTTTAACGGTTTAAATTTTTCTTTTCTTTTATGAAAAAATAAAACAAAATTTCATAACCCAAACAAAAAGTTCTACTGTTGTGCAGTATCTAAACGCACCCTTCCTTCCGCAGACCACAGTACCGTTGTTTTGTTTCCAGAGTATCGTGAAATGCAAATAAATATTTGGTTTAATCGGTTTTGATGATTAGCACAAGGTTCCCTCTTGCAGTGGTCAAGGGTTCTGCTAAGGCCAAGCACCAACCCAACTAAGCCGCGCTCTGGCACTGACAGCAGTTGGGAGCCCTGGGCTCGAGTTCGAGCTCTGAGCAGCTCTGGGACTTGCCCTGCGCCGGACCTCAGTTTCCTCTTAGTGAAATGGGGCGGGGATGAGGGCCGGAGCTGGAAGGGGTCGCTGATGATAGTCTCTGCCTCCGAGTCGAGGCGCCAATTCTCGCCAGGCACGCTCTAGCCTTCAAGTTTTTGGAGGGGTCGGGAGAGAGGAGAGGCCGCGGCAGCCGCGTCCGCATGGCGGTCCCCAAGAGGAGCCGGCGGCCCACAGCACCCGGCACAGACCGCACGCCCCCGCTTCGAGTCTCCTTCCCCGCCGCGCAGGCCCAGGTGGCCCTGCGAAACGCTCCGGCAGGCCGCTCGCAGCTGCCGGCACTGGGTTCCCGGGCCGCCCGAGGGGACGCGATTGGCCGAGACACCAGAGGGGGGCGGGTCAGGAAGTGGGGGCTTGGGGGCTGGGAGCCGGCGGGGACTGGGGGCGGGAGCGGGCCCGGGGTGGCCGAGGGCTTCGGCAACGCAGAGGCAGGGAGACTCTGGGCCGCGCGGAAGCCGGAGGCCGACCCCGGCGTCGCGGAGACATGGCAGAGGAAGAAGGTGACGTCCCGGTCCGGCGCGCCGCCCGGCGTCTCGGGGAAGGGGCAGGGGCGCGAAGGGGCTGGGGCGCGAGGGGCCGAAGGCCCGGGCGGCGGGAAGGGCGGGAAGGAGCACTGCGGCTGGGCCGAGCGGAGGGAGCGGTCCTAAGTTCGCCGAAGTGGGAGCCGAGCTGCAGTTTAAAGTTGGGAGCGGGGGCAGAGGCTGAGCTGAAGGCTCCCAGCGGCTCAGGCGTGGAGTGCGGGGCGTAGTTAGGGGTGGAAGATGGATGTTGGGGTACCGAGTACACAACCAACGTGATAGCTGTTAAACGCCCCCTCGTTCTGAGTGCTCTCTGGAAAGGTTTGTGGGTGCTCACAGAGTCACGGGGTGAGAGAGAGCGCATGCCATCGGGATGAATAGAGGCAGGGATAAACAAGGGAAGGTCTATAGGGAGAAAGGAAGCTGGCCAGGTTCGCTTGTGGTGTAGGGCGTGGTGGCCTGGGGCAGAGGCCTGTGATTCTTTGGGGGCTTGGAGAGCCCAGAGGGCTTTGAGGGTGAAAGTGGAGATAGCTTTCCCTGCGTCCTCGAGCCCAGTACCAAGAAAAGAAGTTCCTCCAGCTAGTGTAGAAGGTGGTGGATGTGAGAAGTAAATGGGCAGCTTGAAGAAACTTAGCAGCTGGTAGTCAGGAAATAACTCATGGCCCAGTAACTTCATAATACGTACAGTACCGTACCTCTGACGGTTCTGGGAACAGATAGATATGGTGAGTCACTTGACTGAGCAGTTAGATTTTTGCATTCTGATAGAAAATACGACTTTTTGCCTTAAGTGAGTGCAGTTGTGCATGTGTTAGTGAGTTGATTTAATTTAGATTTAAGACCCCTTGAACCAAAAGTGCAAGAAGGGAGTTTGAAGAATTCATTGGAAAGCGATTTTTTTAAAAAGATGTAGTGAAATAAGTATTCACTATTTTGTGACTTTCAGCTCTGGCCCTGTTATACATACCTCCTTTTTCCTTGACTTTTCAGTAAATCTAATAAAAATTTAAGACATTTTATTAAAAACATCTTCAAAACCAACGTTAGTGTAGTTGATAAGAATGTAATTCCATTTGTTTCCTTGGTTTTATCTGCATTTGCAGTATATTATCATTTGAAATATTTTTGATATATTTTGCTTGTTAACAAGTTGCAGATTTATGGGAGCAGATTGACGGGTTCCTATCTTAATTTAAAACATGAAAACGTGTAGTACTAAAGTATTTAATATTGTGCATCATACAAAAAAGTTGTTTAGGAAATTACAGCTATGCCTGATTAAATAGATATGATGTGCAACAGTGGACTATATAGTTTTTTGTTGTTGTTGTTGTTTTTGGTACCGGGGATTAAACTAGGGTCCTTGCACTTAAGAGGCAGGCCGTGGAAATACCTGGCCCAGTTTTTTGTTTTTTTTTTTTGAGACAGGGTTTCACTTTGTAGTTCAGGTTGTCCTTGAACTCACTATGTAGCTCAGGCTGGCCTCAAACTTGCTGCAATCCATCTGCCTCAGCCTCCCAAGTGCTGGGATTACAGGTGTGTGCCACCATACCCAGCTGGACTATATCATTTTGTGAAACTTATTTGGATATAAAATGATAAATTATTTTTGGTTGTAGGATTACAGGTAATCCAAAAAGTTAAATAATCTTATATAGAACAATTAATAGGTTGCAGTTTTGTTAAAATACAGTTTCAGGCCTGGGGATTTAGCTCAGTAGTTTTGCCACCTGCTTGCAAGCGCAAGGACCTGAGTTTGATCCCCGGTACAAAATAAAATAAAATAC